CGATGTGCGCGTGTGTCTGCTTGTGAACGGGCAAACGCCGTTGCGTGCGTGTCTACTGCTTTTACTGTTGCCCTGCTTACGGAAAGAAGATTGCCAGCGTGACATAGAATGACTAAAATATTCTGTAGTTCGGAATATGATTATAAATGCTGTGCCTGTCAGTGCCTGGCGTTATGCGCGCTAGTGCCAACACGATTATGTAATAAGATATATGTTCGTGTCTCGGCATAATTGTGTAGGCTACTATATCTCAGGCAGATGTGTGTGTGTATGTGTGTGTGTGTGTGTGTGTGTGTGTGTGTGTGCGTGCGTGCGTGCGTGCGTGCGTGCGTGCGTGCGTGCGTGCGTGTGTATCAGCAAATCACAGGGATAATCACAATCAAGGAAACAGGGTGCTTACTCATTTGAGTTCAGGATCTATTACAAGCCGTCATTATTTTTAAAGGTTATCAACTGTAACAACTTATTCATTTCTTGAAATACGACTGTTAGAATGTCATCTTCGAAAGTCATTTGCATTCGTGAGTTATGCGGCGTAAATAAATTACTAATCACGAGATAGCCTTCGTGCATTAACAATGAAATGAATCGACGATGTCCATAGTACGCGTTTCTAACAAGGCGATAATAATGATGAAACAGGTATAAAAGACGTGAATACAAGTCAGTACACGAATATTTAATTTACCATATATTGCTGTTAATCAACGCCCACTTAATCATATCATTTAAATGTTAACCGTGTGACATGGCGAGCCATCTTGTCATTCGTCACACAATCATGCTTTTTCACTCGACTTCAAGAATCAGTTAGATGAGTTAATACACGAACAGGATTAATACCTAGTACGTAGAATGTGAATTTCCCAATAAATTATTTGAGGATAGTCTTGCGGGGTGATATATTTACCACCTGTGGAGCAGGTGGTGAGGAATTCCCTGTCGCATATATGATTAAGCCACAAAAGGTCAAACGATGTGGTGTTGCGATGGAGCGTATTTGTGGTTGAAATCGGCTACGCATACTTGCGAGTCATTCGCACTCCGATCAATTTAATACGCTTTCGGAGAACGTGCTGTCAGTAGTTAACGTAATCAACGTTTATAAAATGTGAAACGTAATAGCATTAGCAAGGGGATTACAATATTCATGCAATAACAAGTGTAGTTGCCGTTTCGTCTTGCGCCATATAATGCGGCTGTAATCATAGCGGCATTTGTCTCTAACGGTGGTCTGCACTAGAGACGTGGAGAGTGCGTCATTAAAAGGAACTGCTTGCGGATTGCCGTTCGGTACAGCAACGCATGAAGGACCCGCGTAGTGGAAAGACAGAACAAGAAATGCAATCACGTTCGCGATCGCCTAATTGTGTTCAATTTGCTCATGTCCCACTTTCCATTGAGTAACAAGCGTCGCCAACAAAACCCGGCTCGCTGGCCGCCATCATAAAATTATTTCGAATTTTATTGCTCGCTGGGCAAGATGACCCTAACGAGATGGATGAAACAGGATAATGTGGGCTGTCGTGCTCTCATTTCCGCGCCGTCACGAGGCACCGTTGCACAAATCAGCGAATAATGACGGTGGTCTTCTTTTCATTTTACCGCAGATGGGCACAGAACTGGTGATTATTTTTTACAAATCAACGTGATCATAACTGACATATTGTTTCCACGATGTAATTTGGTGGCCTCCATAAAGAAAGGTCACGACGGCGATCGGTCATTAGCATAGAAAATGTCACTTCTCGTACTCCAGCTATTAATTTGCCTCCTTTTGTCATCTTCGGGATTCGGGTTTGTGGAAAATTAGGGGGATGCGTGTTTAGAATACGAAGATGGCCTTTATACATTTAAACGCGTTATATGTTATCTGTGGTACTTCAAAAACATGTTAAATTGATTCGTTGCTTACAAGACCTTAGGTTTCTGACCTTGAATATTTTCGACTAAAACATGAATACCATCCAAGCTTCTTCTTACAGAAGCGAAGTAATAAATAAATACGCACAGCACTGAGCAGTTTATGAAATTGGCAAATTTATCTAATATATATCTATATATATATATATATATATATATATATATATATATATATAAGATAAATTTAAAAATAGAAATAGGTGTCAAAATTTTATTTCGCGAGCTTTCGAGAACATATAGTCTCTTCGTCAGGCGAAAACAACTGAATTCGCCTGACGAAGAGACATATGTTCTCGATAGCTCGCGTAATAAAATTTTGACACATAAAATTTATCTTAATTGAAAATTTAAATGAATCTCTTCATGGGTGTCCGTGTGTTTTTACTTATATATATATATACACAATTATTTAGGTCTTATTTGTTAGATTAGACAGAATGAGTCACTTAAATAACAATAATTATGTTGTGAAAGGTTGGGGGCCAATGTTGCTTGTATCATGTTGCTAATGTTGCATATTGTTTCGCTCAGCAAATCACCATGAATTTCATCAAACCAACAAATGCTGCCTTATGATATAAGATATCATATCCATTTATAATAATTTCATAATTACCTCTTATTAGGACCCTAGGGCATTATTAGCACTTGTAATTTATGTTTAGACTGAACTGGGTGGCAAATGGTAAGTGTTATAATTATACATAGGTGGCAGCACATTCTAGTATGTCATGGTTCGATCTGTAAATAAAATATCTCCGTACGTAGTGAAATTATAATGTTTCGTATTCTTTGTGGGTAAGCAAGAACTGTAAGTTTTCCAATTTGATATCCCGTACTGAAGTACCGCAATTCAATCTGAAGAGCTTTTGATAAATTGTATGGTAACAGTACTCGGATCTAGTCATGGTCATGCATGTCCAATCGGCGAATCTGTGTACAACTACAACTCGACTGTACACATTGTGTAACACAAGTCACAATGGTGCGTGCAATAAATACACTACACATACATACATTGTATACGTAAACATATGGGCCCTAGTCTAGAAGACATGTCCCACAATACTTCATGTCTACAATACAATACACAATGGCATGGGTCATGTCTTCTAGACAAGTTCCAACATATGTATGGCAGGGCTGTAGTGGCGCTCATAGGGTCTATGTCCCCCAGGGTACTGCCGGAACGTACCCTGGGTACGGTCTGGTATACCGGAACGTACCCTGGTCCCTATTTGATATGGTTAGGGTTAGAGTTCGGCTTAGGGAGTAGGCGTAGGCGACTCCCTAGACTCATTAGTGGAGTAGGCGAGGTACGGTTCATTTAATACGCTTTCGGAGAACGTGCTGTCAGTAGTTAACGTAATCAACGTTTATTAAAATGTGAAACGTAATAGCTTAGCCAATGGGATTACAATATTCATGCAATAACAAGTGTAGTTGCCGTTTCGTCTTGCGCCATATAAGCGGCTGTAATCATAGCGGCATTTGTCTCTAACGGTGGTCTGCACTAGAGACGTGGAGAGTGCGTCATTAAAAGGAACTGCTTGCGGACTGCCGTTCGGTACAGCAACGCATGAAGCGACCCGCGTAGTGGAAAGACAGAACAGAAATTGCAATCACGTTCGCGATCGCATAATTGTGTTCAATTTTGCTCATGTCCCACTTTCCATTGAGTAACAAGCGTCGCCAACAAAACCCGGCTCGCTGCCGCCATCATAAATATTTCGAATTTTATTGCTCGCTGCGGCAAGATGACCTAACGAGATGATGAAACAGGATAATGTGGGCTGTCGTGCCTCAGTTTCCGCGCCGTCACGAGGCACCTTTGCACAATCAGCGAATAATGACGGTGTCTCTTTCATTTTACCGCAGATGCACAGAACTGGTGATATTTTTTACAAATCAGACGTGATCATAAACTGACATATTGTTTCCACGATGCTAATTTGGTGGCCTCCATAAAGAAAAGGTCACGGACGGCGATCGTCATTAGCATAGAAAATGTCACTTCTTGTACTCCAGCTATTAATTTGCCTCCTTTTGTCATCTTCGGGATTCGGGTTGTGGGAAAATTAGGGGGATGCGTGTTTAGAAATACGAAGATGGCTTTATACATTTAAACGCGTTATATGTTATCTGTGGTACTTCAAAAAACATGTTAAATTGATTCGTTGCTAACAAGACCTTAGGTTCTGACCTTGAATATTTCGACTAAACATGAATACCATCAAGCTTTTTCTTACAGAGCGAAGTAATAAATAAATACCGCACATCAGTTTATGAAATTGGCAAATTTATCTAATATTATATATATATATATATATATATATATAATATATAGTATAATAATATATAAGATAAATTAAAAATAGAAAATAGGTGTCAAAATTTTATTTCGCAGAGCTTCGAGAAACATATAGTCTCTTCGTCAGGCGAAAACAACTGAACGCCTGACGAAGAGACATATGTTCTCGATAGCTCGCGTATAAAATTCTGACACATAAATTATCTTTAATTTGAAATTTAATGAATCTCTTGCATGGGTGTCCGTGTGTTTTACTTATTATATATATATACACAATTATTTAGGTCTATTTGTTAGATTAGACAGAATGAGTCACTTAAATAACAATTAATTATGTTGTGAAAGGTTGGGGGCCAATGTTGCTTGTATCATTGCTAATGTTGCAAATTGTTTCGCTCAGCAAATCACCATGATTCATCAAACCAACAAATGCTTGCTTATGATATAAGATATCATATCCATTTATATAATTCATAATTACCTCTTATTAGGACCCTAGGGCATTATTAGCACTTGTAATTATTAAATGTTTAGACTGAACTGGTGGCAAATTGGTAAGTGTTATAATTATACATAGTGGCAGCCACATTCTAGTATGTCATGGTTCGATCTGTAAATAAAATATCTCCGTACGTAGTGAATTATAATGTTTCGTATTCTTGTGGGTAGCAAGAACTGTAAGTTTTCCAATTTGATATCCCGTACTGAAGTCCGCAATTCAATCTGAAGAGCTTTGATAAATTGTATGGTACAGTACTCGGATCTAGTCATGGTCATGCATGTCCAATCGGCGAACTGTGTACAACTACAACTCGACTGTACACATTGTGTAACACAAGTCACAATGGTGCGTGCAATAAATACACTACACATACATACATGTATACGTAAACATATGGGCCCTAGTCTAGAAGACATGTCCCACAATACTTCATGTCTATAATACAATACACAATGGCATGGGTCATGTCTTCTAGACAAGTTCCAACATATGTATGGCAGGGCTGTATAGTGGCGCTCATAGGGTCTATTACTATTAGATACAATAATGTAAACCCAAACCCAAGAGGATAGGGTTACAAAGCCTCCTATCCTTTTGTGCGGAGGAATGCCGAGTGAATCACTCGGGCCGCGGTTTGCTGGTGCGTTTTCAGAGGACTAGAACTTCCAAACTGGGTTTATTCATTAACACGAACCTTTCTCCGCCTATCTGGGAACTTACTATGTATCGCAATACTCTGTATAAACTAATATAACCTGTTACAAAAATTGGCAGTGACGAGCGCGGCGATATACTGAGCGCCATTTCTGTGACCTGTGACGACGCAGTTCCCAATGCGCATAGCGATCGCAACGCAGCGCTCCGATTCCGTGCGGTGAATCCGCTCTTCAAAGCGAAAGTACGTCACAGGTCAACAGAAATGGCGCTCAGTATATTCGCCGCTCGTCACTTCAAATTTTGTAACAGGTTATATTAGTTTAATACAGAGTATTGCGCTACATTAAGTAAGTTCCCAGATAGCGGAGAAAGGTTCGTGTTGAGAATAAACCCAGTTTGGAAGTTCTAGTCTTGAAAACCACCAGCAAACCGGCCCGAGTGATTCACTCGGGCATTCCTCCGCACAAAAGGATAGGAGGCTTTGTAACCCTATCTCTTGGTTGGTTACTTATTGTATCTAAGGGTCTATGTCCCCAGGGTACTGCCGGAACGTACCCTGGGTACGGTCTGGTATACCGGGAACGTACCTGGTCCGCCTATTTGATATGGTTAGGGTTAGGATTAGGGTTAGGTTGGGGTTAGGGTTAGAGTTCGGCTTAGGGATAGGCGTAGGCGATGTTCCTAGAATCGTTAGTGAGTAGGCGAGGTACGGTTCGGCATATTAGATAGTACCAGGGTACGTTCGGTATACCGGACCGTACCCAGGGTACGTTCCGGCAGTACCCTGGAGACATAGACCCTTAGCTGTAGTGGCCTCCCAAAATGTGCGGCCCAAGGATAGAAGAACATGGGTCCCAATAAAACCAATGTGCCTAACCCTAACCCTAATTCTAACCCTTAACCCTAACCATAATCCTAACCCTAACCTAACCCTAACATAACCCTAATCTATTATATGATATAATATATATTTATATTGATGTAAATGACATTGGTTTTATTGGGACCATGTTCTCTATCTTCGAACAAATGTGCTACTGCAGAAAATGTAGGATCACAGCGTTAAAACGTGTATTGCGAGAATTTTGCCTCAGAAAAAACTAAATATAGCTGAATATAGTCTCACCTGACAGCGAAATATCACTGATTACACCAACATTCAAAACACCAAGATTTTATGCAGTTATAGCACAGAAAATTGATTGGACCACATCATCACAGCAATAAATTTGTGCGTGTCCCGACTCTCAAAATCACAAATGGCGTCTTTGAACAAATGCACATAATTAAAACAAGGGCGTGCAATTCTGTTTGGTAAATATTAATTGAGTTTTTATGTCATAATTCAGAGCACTTCTGTGCATTGTCATTCCCGTGTTACTATCTGACTGGGAAATCCACAAGCTTCTCTTATAACAGACTTTACGTGGCATTAGGCGTAACAAAAAAAATTGTTTGTTTCCGCGTTACCGGACCGACCCTACCAATAGTTGCCGACCCTAAACATTTTTGACCACTTTTTAAAAATGAAAATCAACAAATGCATTGATTGGACCTTTAACATAAATTTAAGATGTAGCGCAATGTTTACAAACGGAATCACTAGCGAGTAGGCCCTCTAGCGGCGTTAAACTTAAGACAAAATAAGTCCTAAAATTTTTCAGCAAATAAATTTTTTACCGGCCTGCCTACCCTAGTTTGAAAAATCATGTAACCGGAAACAAACATTTTTTTTTGTTACGCCTTAGTACTACACTGCTGTTACGCTAGTATGAACGTCTGTGTTTACACTCAGACCTGATTCTAGGTGCGACGGTATGCATTACTACACCTGATAGATGTCTCGCCGCTACCGCGATAAAATCCGAGAGATGCCAACGGTAACAGAAAACAGAACGCAAAATTGTAATCGTGCATGATTTCATTGGATTGGTAAATACGAAGGTTCTAAGACATGTTATCATCACTCTAGACAATTTCTGTTACTCAAAGAATAACGGTAGTATCATGAAAATGAGGGAAAAACACTGGAAAATTCTCGCAATACACGCTTTAATAGCATAAGTGGCAGTTATGGTGTGTGCCAGCACGCGGTGAAACGCATTTCCTGCATTTTCAGGCTATGTTTAAAGCAAACCAATTCTGATCATTTTAAAACAGTAAAAGGTCAATTTGTAAATTTCAAAAAGAATGTAGCTAAAGCTGATGTTTTGACTAAAGTATCTAAAATATATATTATGATTGAGTATGATAACGAAAAAAACATTGTTACAAAATTGTAATTGTATATACCGTATATACTCGCGTAATAACCGCAAATTTGGATTAGATTTCAACCCTGTATTTGCTCTGTGCAGTTTATAAGTGCACCATACCGTGAGGGGAAATATACTAGGCGCAATACTTGTTACCCGGTTCAAATTGAGGTGCGCTTATAGGCGCCGCCGGTTATTACGCGATCATATACGGTACTATCAGTATCAGTACATAATTATGAAAAATAAGCCTATTTTCAATCTGAATTTATAATTTCACTATGTACATCTGTATGTTTTGAAGTTTGAATTGAATTACAAACACCTTATATAGGCACACTGTCATATTAAATACACATTCCAAATCTTAGAGCACTGATATAACACCTCTAATTGATCAGTATTATAATAGTAATACCAGACAGTCCGTTCAGATAACAGTCAACTCCTTGGTTCCCTGCACAATTTCTTTTTGTCAAAATAGTGCCACGGCAGTGGCGTGCTGCCGTGGCAGCAACTATGGCCCTGTGTATGGGATATATTGATGGGGGAATCTACTACTTTTAGATATGGGATCAGGGGTAGAAATTAACTTTTGAACACGTGAGTCCAGCGGACTCCCTACACTCAAAAAGAGGGAGTCGGCAGCAAAATGAGGGAGTCGGCAGTCTGAGGTTCAAAATTAAAGATATTAACAATAACGCATGTGCTTAAAATTTTTAAGATTCATGCGGTTGCACGTCTGCCAAATTTTCTTTGGGCATTAGCTGAAAAAATACGGTAATTCGCCGAGGCCATGCTCTGGAACGAACTAGTTAGTATGGCAGAATTTTCAGGGAGTCGCACGGACTCCTGCATATGTCAAATCAGGTAGTCCGACAGTAAATCAGGGAGTATTTGACTCCGGACTCCAGTTAATTTCGCACCCTGTGGGATTTTACAAAATTCAATGGCATTATATTAGTTCTGGTGTGTTGTGTACAGACGATTGCATAAGGTGCGTGTAGGCATGTGTGTACGACAGGAAATGTATT